TAAAAAAAATGATTTAGATTTGATTTTCAAAATCCTACCAGTTTTTGGGTCAATGGACCAAAGGGTACAGTCATGTAAAACGTATTAATTTATAAAAGATATAATTTAGGAAGTATGTGATTGTGACAAAATAACCTTTCAACATGTAAAAAGTTCATTGCATTTATCTGTCAATTGTAAGTAATTGCTGCACTATTATAGCCCAATTTTTCTCTCCCTTTTACACTAATATTTGTTACAGCACAAGGGCAAAGAAATAACCGGCATTTTGATGTAAGTTTTATTTTAATCCTAAACCACTATAATGTATAAACCTAAACCACTAAATGTATATATACATTTTTTATTTTGTAACAGTTTACTCTGACTGAAGATGATTTAGAGTTGGAAAGCCAATTTAAACTGTTACAGGTCATTAAAATTATTATTCTTGTTACAATAATCACTTCGCTATAAATATAGCTTGAGAAGTTTTATTGCTACTATGCCATTGGATTCAGCTCATTCTTGTGTGATTCCTACATAATGTTTGTCACCAGTATATCAGTATATTGATGATCATATCTTCAATAACTTTAATGTAGGTTGCACTATGATGACAGAAATTTAGTAGCCATTATTAAAAAAGAAATAAAAGAAAAGATGACTGAGTTGGAGAAACTTTGTAAAACAAAAGGGTTTATAAGGATGCTTCAGGTAACAGTTTCATACTGTACATGTAGTAAAAAATAATTTATTTTTAGTGTTTGACTATTTTTATAAATGAAAAAGAAACATCACATGCTAAATTTGGGTCAGTAAAACCTGCATGATACCATTATACAAAATGTCCCAAAATATAAAACTTATTGACTTCCTTGCATACTACAGGAAAACTAGACTTTGCATTGAAAGGAAGACTACTTGTGTACAAAATGAAGAGGTAATTATAGTTTATAATACTATTAACATGCTAAGTTTATGTGTGTAGGAGTCCACTGATACAGCAAATGATGCAGAAGGTGATGAAGCAGATGATGCAGCTATTGATTTGCATATTCAAAGTTTGTCTATAATAATTCATGCAAAATTATGATAATTTTTACAGAGGAAACATATAGAGCATCATTGGAACAGCCTGAAAATATGGAATGGACTCTACCTGTTCCTATTCAAGAGTTTTTTAGTAACTTACCAATTGCTGATGCTACAACATTTTTAATGAAAAGTGGTAAGATCAATTAGATTATCTATTTATTAGTTCACAAATTTATTAGATACAATAGATGATAACAGAATTAAAATGATAATAATGAGTTGTCTAAAAGGTTATATTGACAAAAATTATGTTATTGACTTGGAGAATACTGGTCGTGGATTTGCTATTAATGCCACTCTAGTTTTTCGCTTGTTATTTTTGCTTCACTTGCTTTTCATAAAGTATGTGTACATTTCTACAAAAGAGGTAATTGTTTAAATCCTTAGCTATCATAGTTTTAATATTTTAACAATAGAGAAATACTGAAAACAATAGTCCCCCTTCAAACAATGGATCAAGGTTACTTGACATGATTTTAAATTCAATAAAAGATAAATTTTAGAAAATTGCAAATTTATTGATGTTTTGTTTATTGTTACTGTATTGAGACGTGTGAGCTGCACTTACAAATTTTGCTAAAATTTTTTTTGAGTTGCCATTATTTGTTGTTTTTATACAGCAGGATTTTTGAGCAATTTTTTAGAAGTGATTTCTGCAGAATCTTGTCTCAGTTAATTGCAAGTGAAGATGACAAAATCAGTTATATGAGTGCATCTCTTCTTTTTGATATCTACATGAAAGAAGAGATCATTGACTCATGGGTTAATAGCTTGCAATCGTTTGAAGAAAATGACATTGCTAATTTGCGTATAAAAATGTGGCAGTCTGCTACAATGACAGATACGTATTTGTTACTTAGAAAAATGCTGGCAAATAAAATACAAGTATGTGATCAGCTTGGAGGAAAATGCACAGAATTTTTAGACGAAATCACTTCTAATTGTATGTTACATGAGTCTTTCAAAACTGAGGCACACAGTTGTGGTGAGTGTACTTGAATAATGTTCAATGATGTTGTTTGTTTATCATCATTAGGTCTGTTTCATATCGCCCTTGAGTACTGTGTCCAGCACAAAGTC